TTTTAACAACATTTTAGAAGGTGGGATAGTCCCTTTAAATCTGCAATAGGCAATACGACAACGCCTCTATTTATCCAATGACGTGTAAAATATGATATCCACCTGGTAGTACATCTTCTGTGGGGCCTGCCTATGAGACCTTCCCCTGGATATCGCAACCCCGTAACTCCCGATGAGTGGAGGGGTCGCGCGCTGGGCTCACGGAGGATCTCCGGCCCGCCGCTCGGCCCGGCTCACGGAGAATCCCCAGCCCGCCGCTCGGCTCGGCTCTAATCCCCGACCGGCGACAATCGGTGACCGATAGGTGACCGGGCCGGCGGCGGGTGGCGGCACCTCAGAGCGGTCTGTGCACCATTTGTCGAGTATTGTCAGCCTACTCTGAGGCGCGACAGGCGCTGTCACAGCAAGCGACGAGTGCTGGGAGCAGGAGAAAGGTGGGGAGGACGATGGGAGGACGCGAGGAGGGTGCGGGGTGAGTCTGGAGGTGGTTGACAGAGTCTGGGAGGATGATGGAAGAAGGGTAGTCCGTGCCTGAGAGATAGCTGGGAGATGACTGCATGACTGCATGGCTGAGAAACATGATGGCATCAAGCTGAGGCATCTTCTTAGCCGGGAGATGGCTGAGAGGTAAGGAATTTGCTAGGGGATGGTATCATGGTGGGAGGTATGACCTCACGCTGAAAGACCATAAAGAGATACCACTCGGAGTCGGCATTGGCTCGGAGTCCACTCGGAGTCCGAGTTCAATGGCATTCAGCTGGACGTTTGAGTCTTGCTGAAACGTCATCTCAAGCTTGAAAAACCGTTTTGATGAATCTCTCAGTTACAGTACCTATGTCCACCCACCAAGTGCTGTCTGAGTTCGAACGCGCATGCATATGAACGGTTCGGACCGGATGCGGTGTATGGGACGGGAAGAGGAAGATTCTGTTCCAATTCACAGCAGACCGCGGAGATGACCGGATCAGTGGTATCCGGTGGACTCGCTGTGAACAGAACTGAGGAGGGGGCGGTGTGGGACGGTCCGATCGTCCGCCCCGGACGCGTCGGACGGCGCGGAAGATTGGGGATCTATTGGAGATGACATGTCAATGGCCAGATGAGACGATCATGAGGCGAGAGATGAGCGATGGGATGTAGAGAGAGATCAGGGTCATCGCTCTAAGATCAAAGACCATTGAGTTTTTTTTTTTGCGATTTCAATGATATTTCCAGAATAAAAGTCAGTCGTTATAAAAACAGCTATTTTTTTTTTTGAAAACGTTAATGTCGTTTAAAACGTGTCACAGCCTTTAGGAAAAGTCTGCCCTAAACAACGCTTAGTAACGATAAATAACACATTTTAGCACATTGTATGACAATGTCCTAGCATTACCACTTCTTGTAACATGGGCAGGGAATCGCTATCGTATCACTCAGCCAGTCATCACGCTGTACCCATACGCTCCTCACGCAACAGCCATAACTCGCGTCGCGTTGCGTGAACAGAACATTATTCATGTTCACTGTGAACACTGGCGTTACATCGCAAGAAACTCAGATCACTAGTGATATGCAGCCGCTGTCATTCGAAGCAAATCGCTGTTTTAGGGCCATGGGGCCATAAAACACAGTATCTACTGCCGTCCTTCAAACCACCATGCTGGGAACCATGTTGTTCGTGCGTGAACAACAGTGTGGCACAGCTGTGACAAATTTGGCGCGCTGGTCGACACCAGAGACTTATATGGGGCGCTGGTGGGAGTCTTATCCGGCGGTGTGAGGAAAAAGCCGGCAAATGCAACCGACCGTACTATCGCGGAGAGACGGCCGGAGTGGAAACGAAAAGATATCGACCCCGACCGAAGGCAAAACATGGCCTTATCGCTGAAAGGCAGACAGAGCGACTCCTTTGCTTTGGGTTTAAAATGATTAATCGATGAGAGAAGACACCTTCAAACCCAACTAGTGGCGCTAGGCTGTTTGTAGCTGACACTGAATGCCTAATGCCATTGCCTATTGCCTTTACCTATCGGGATCTGTGAAGCACTGCTTAACTTTTTGCAGCATCACACTGCACCTATTACCGGATTGTTCTGCTGGCCTAATTGCACGCACAGAGCCACTCAATTGCGGTCATGTTTCAATTTTTAACCTGTCTCCGCGGACTGCCAATAATTGCCGGGTTTCTGCCGACGCTGGCTGCAGTGCCGGGCATAATAAACATCGTTTAATATCTGTAATTCGCCTCCTCAACCATCGACATTGAGCGGACCGTTCACGAGCAAAGCAATGCACCGAGGGGTGAGCCGCTGCAGACTGTTTGTTATGCATCTCAGAGCGTCGGTGAGTGTTAGCTCCATTTTCCTGTCCTCACCTCGCCCCGGCTCGCCCTCTCCCGTCACGGGAGAGCTGTGAACTACAGCTTTAGAGATCCGCCGCCAGGGAGCAGCAGCAGCAAAAGTCAGGGGTTTACGATTCCGCACTAGGGTGTCTCGAAAAATAAAGTTGACATGCCTATAGCCCAAAACATTTGCAATCGAGTCTGCTGGTTTCGAAAATCGCAATTAAACAATTATGAGCTATTGTCTTCAACAAGCGCAGTCGCGATTTCCAAAAGCTTGCACCTACTTTTCGGGCGTTGCAGTCTCCATTGGTTTTGCTTGGTGTTAGTGGCAGTAATAATACGGTGGTTTTCACGAAAGTCTCAGGCAGAGTTCGTGGGTGAAGAGTTTAAGCGTAGTTTCAGGTCGGTAGTTAATTGACTTTATTTAGTGTAGACGTTGTCAATACACTTTTAAAAGTCACGCCTGTAATGCGACCTTCGCTTCAGCGCAGCTAAACTCTGGACAAACCACGTCCGGCACCAGCCCATAATCTCAGTCGGAACTCGGACCAGACACGCTAGCGCCACAGACGCCTAGACGACACTCGAGCCCCTCGAGCCCGACCGCGGCAGCAGCACAGTGATAACTTTCGTCTGCTCTAACCATAATCATAGTACCCAAGCCACAATTGTGAGCCGTCTCGTGTCCAGAGCCTACTTGCCACTTGGCGAGGACGAGAACGACTCACCGCCTGGAGGCTTAGTGAGTTTCACCTCGAGGGGCTGCGGCCGCCAGTGTTGATTGAACTCTCGTGATGGTGTCGACTGTCGATGTATGCATTGGTGGTGAAGTTACTCATTCATTCTCAGGCCATGGCAAAGCCCGGTCCAAGTACCCGTAACCAGACCGTGGTCCCGGTCCTAAATGTCCACCCAGCAGAGCTTCCTCCAGCTCCAATGGTCTCTTACACTGGCGGATCTGCAGGGAGGGGGCATTTAGGGCTATGCCCCCTCAAAGGCCTAAAGTGGCCTGTTCGCCCCCCCCCCCCCCCCCAACGATAATGAAACATAGTTCAATTAGTGCGTGGCCCAGGAGCCGAGTTAAACAGGGGGTGTTTTACCAACTCCCGGCCCGCAAAGGTTGCGCCAAGCACCGATCCGGAGCGGGTTAGCTGGTCGACAAAAGCAATGTGAAGTGTTTATACAAAGTGATATAAAGGCATGGGTCGGGTGGGTTACCATTTCTATATTTTTTCTTTTTAATTAAAAAAATGTTTATCGTGTCAGGGCTGTGACGAAAAATAAGTGGCCTAAATCCGATGAGAAAATAGGATTTGGGGTTACGCTAGGTTTGGCTCCTACATCGAGTTGCCCCCCCCAAAAAAATGCAAATCTGGATCCGCTAGTCTTCCTCGCACGCAGCTTCCGTGGAGAAGCGATGTTCTCCGATGATTCCTGAAGCAGAGGAATGCTGCTAACGCAGAAGAGTGTCGCAGAAGCGTGTCGGCCATGACGGCCGATATCATTGTCAGCCGTGCGAAGTCAAGGCTCGACCTCCCACTTATCTGGACAAAAAAATTGGAATGGAGTGCGCTCAAGAGCAAGACAGAAACGTAGAAAACGCCATATATCATGTGTGTTGGCATTTTTACTGCATTTTACCTCGTCAGCGACATGGATATTAGCTTTTAGCATAACCTACTGTCAGCAGGATGATTATCACTCCAGGTAGCAATTTTTGGATACCTATGTTGCGCTAGGAAAGTGTTTTAGTAAATGTTTAGGCAACAAATGTATTGATTCATTGAAAGATCGCAAGCTGAAGCGAGAACGCATTTATACGGTTTACGTGAAAATAACACCGAAGAAAGCCTATGGAGACTGCAACGCCTGAAATTGTCAGGAAAGGGTTACAATAGACGAGGTGCGCTGGTTCTTAACATTAAATGAATTTTTTTTAATCATCATTTCATGTCATAATAAGGCTAGATGCAAGTGGTTTTTACTATAGGAAGTGAATTAATTTTTTTGACCCCACTTTCGAGACACCCTATTCCGCACTCCTTCCGCTAATTGCAGGGAAAATGGCAGCGCAGCTCGGGTAAAGATGACCGGTGCTAGTCCCCCGTCATATAGCGCTATGGCGCCGATCGGCTTGCCGATTTCATGGAGTAATGGCGCTGCTCTGATGACTCGACATGTCCTGTCGGACTGTCAACTCGTCTACACGGGAACAATGCCGCTGATGATTTTAAAGATGAACATTGGACACGTGCCGTAGGTGTCAGCACGAGTGGTGGCGAGTGATCGCGGGGGCGGATGGCGTGCTTTTAGGTCGGTATAACCGTGGCTGAGCTCGCGATATTTAGGTAGATCAGTCGCCCACACAGGCAGCGGACCAGTCTAAGTAGAGCTATCGACTCCACTGCTACGGCGTGGCCGTTTCGTACGGTTTGAGTTCGCCCGTCATGCCGATTTCGTCTTCAGTAAGATATAAGCTAAATAATAGGATAGACTAACTAATTTAGACTTGTGTGGATAATCCTAACGTACCGAGAACAAGACGTTTCGTATTCGCCGTTTCGTACGTGTAAATAGTAAATTGTACTTGGTACGTTTGACCCCTACATGTATGAGCACTCGTCGGTGAATCAAATCAGTTATCGCTTAGAGGGCACCTTTCAGAAGTAGAAACTGTTTCTGGGACTAGTTTGTTTATTTCGCATCCATCATTCATGTTCTATGTACATTGCACACCGTTTTATCCAAACATTGTGCATGACACAATTATCGATTGTTTACCATTTACGTATTTACATAGCTTGGCATCACACTAAGGGCGCACAGAAATTGCATGGCACATCTATAACTTGAGACTGTGACGTCACAAGAGAGGAACGAAACGGTGAGGTCGTCACGATAACACTGACGTCACCGGTCAATTAACCTGTCAAATCCGGCAATTAAGTAACACTCGAGTAGGAATGGCGACAACTGGAGAAAAAGGGAGTGAAGTCGAATCATGTTTCTTTTATCTGAAATAGTGCATTCAGTTGCGCTGACGCTTAAGCGGATAAAAGGTGTTCAGTTACACTAGCTAACAACCACTTCTGGTTGAAAGGGTACAGCAAGAAGTAGAACACGGCGATACATTACACTCAATATCACATTAAATCGCAAATACTCGTCTTTGGTATCAATATGCCACCTGAAGCTTAGTCAGCGTGACAATCGGTTAAAAAGTCCGACTCCTCAAACCTGGCCTTTTCTTCTGCATTCTGTACTATACTTTCCAGATTCTCCATCAATGTATCAGTCTCTGAGGCAACGACAAAGCAAACGACACTGAACAGCCAATGTCTGACCGACCAAAGGACAGAGTTGCATCAGTCTCGATGTTTTGTTGCAGAGCGGGCTCAGTCGGGCAAACATCCAACGCCTGAATTCATCTCATCCAAGCACATGATCGAGCTTCCTTTGCATTACAAAAGGGTCTGACAGTCAGTAATTGCTTCGTCTTGCCAGCTAGGGCCTGCTCGCAGACCAGAAGTGGCTTGGAACAGACCATCGAGAGTCCAAGCATCAGTCAACCGGGTGACCAGCTCTAAAATGACTAACATATCCTGGCCTTCACCACTGCGATGGTCAGCACAATTGCAGTACATGGCGGTCATTGCATTTCGGCACCTGGTCGGGCCATTTCGGCACTATTTCAGCACCATGCCGGCACCAAATCGGCGCCTGGCCTGCACCATCTCTGCACCTGGTCTGTACCAATTTAGCTGCAGCCTCGCAGCCTCCAGTGAACCTGATCTGGAACTCTAAAACCGTCTCTCAGACCACTGGCGAGGGGTAGGAGACATTGAGGCGTGCCTGGGGAGGTGTGTACTTCAGGAGACGCCCGTCCTCCGTCCGACGGTGCTGCCGTCCATTCAGCGGCGGCAGCTGGTGGAACTCGAGACTGCGGGGACTGGAGATAGACGGCGCTGCACGTCGCGGCCGCGGCGAGTTGCGGCTGAGGCTGTTGAGCAGCTTTGGCCGGTTCTTGGGCGATCGTCCCACCGAGCGGAACTGCGGCTTTTCGTAGATGTGCAGCGTCAGATCGACACCGGCCGGGGTCTGGTATCGCTCGTCCGGAGCCAAAGGACGGCCGGCTAGTGGCTCCTCGTAGCAGTGCTCCTCGTACTCCGGCTCTGCCGGCGGGTCGTCGCTGCGCCTCCTCAGCTGGTAGCTCTCCGTGCGCTGCGGACGGGCCCGAGGCGAGGCGGTCACCACACAGCCGTCCGGCGCCACGCGCGTCACCTGCATGGCCTCGTCCGAGGCGGCGTACGCTGTGTTATCGTGGGCCGGCAGGAGGTGGACGCCGTCCGGGATTCCAGCCCGGTACGCCTGAGGAGAGATGGACGTGTACCCGACCGAGCTGTAGTCGTCTGGAAACTCGAAACTGGAGGCTGTGATGCTCGCGGACTTCTGTTCGACCGGCTGCACATGCTCGATGGTGTAGTGGTTCTCCCGGGTACGCAGGCCGGCCCAGAGGGCACGGCTGGAGCGGCAAGCTGCAGACGAGGCGGTGCTCGGTGGAGGGTACAGGACTGCCTCACACTGACCGCTGCCCAGCGGCGGTTTGTTGGTGTCAACTGAGTCCAGGCCCAGTCGACTCTTTTTCTGCCTGTGAACGGGAAATAGATGGGGTCAAAGATAGATAAAGGTGGTGGCAAGTACATGGGAGCGCCTTCGTGACATGAGTAGAGCGGAGGACGATCCAGCGGGATTACAGCCGGTTTTTGGATTCTGCTTATGTGCAGTTCTGAGTCATCTCTGTGGTTTTAGGATGGTCAGAAATCACGTCACACTGGTCGGACGGTTCAGAGTTGCAGAGAAGCTCCAAGAATTTCATCTGAGCTCTGCACCGACTAGGAAGACAATGCAGGGAAGGAAACATCACAACAGCACAGCACACGAGATAAACGGAATAGGCAAGTGCGATATACTCGTATAATCAAGAAATCCTTGATGAGCTCAACCTTTCAATGAATTAAATGGATGTCAAATAGGCATGTACATAAGAAATTGACGTCCAGCTTTCCCGCCGGTATGCGGGTCAAAATAAAGAAAAGCCAGCTTGATCTCGTATGTGCATGATATATTCAATCTTTCACTTACTCTTTCAGCCTGAGGCAGAATATGGTGAGTAGGATTCCGAAGAGGGTGAGACCAACACACGCGCAGATGATGACAAAGAACCACGTGTCGTCGATTGCCGGACCTGTAACAAAAGAAAGGTGCGTTTGTAAGATGTGGGAAATATACCACGTTCTGCATGAAACGGAGTCGCATGACGTTAATCCATGACTGCTATGATGTGTCCATATCACCAAAAATTATAGCCATGACACGCATCAGAATAGGCCACTGCAGCTAGACAAAGGAGAATGCCTAAGGTAGAAGTCAATTTCAAGATGGCTTAAGCCATTTGTTTTGGTTAATACCGTCAATCGTCATGTCTATCACAGAGCACAAGGGTGGACCTCTGGTGATGTTCTACTGCATATTTAGTCTGAATAAAATATCACTCATGATTTCGGCCTAAAGGGCAGACCGAGAATGGATCGAGCTAGGAGTGCGCCCGGTGATGAGATCCCTCGCCAGGCCAGCTCTGTCATTTCATAACAATTATGTAGTTACGACCATAATGATACCAAATGACTATGCACGTCATAATGAAAATAAAAACCTCTCCTGCAAATAGTTAATGCTGTCAGCGGGCAATGTTTGACGCTGTGCAACAGGCCCGAGCAGATATATGTAACGTCCCAGCAGAAGACTGCGATTTCCTTTGCACCGGACTGGACCTGATGACTGGGATGTTTGGTCACTCATACACATGTATCCACTTCTTGGATCCATTTCTGCACTTAGCCTAATCTGGGATCTCTTTCGTTCGTGACATGGATGGAAACTCTGAAATTGACGACATACAGCGTGAGAGTTGTGGTTCCTATTCACGAGGCAGTAGGCACCGAAACATGGAATCTCGGAGATTGAAGTTGTAAAGAATTTCTGTAACAAGAGTAGGACGAATTATATCCACCTCATGGTCGTAACGCTATTGACGCTTATTCCATGTGGATGTGATTAAGTTGAGTTTGCTTTCAAGTAGGTACTAAAACATCGTGACAAAGCTCGAACAAATATCACGGGTATTGACGACTGTATAGTTTGTGGTGATGAACCAACACGGTTTGGTGATTAAGCACTTCTAAAATCCATCAGAATGGCTGTACACGAGGATTAGAGCGTCATAAACACGGGAGCCGACTTCAAGAGAGACTCAGTCATCCAATTATCACTAAAACCTCAGTCACGGATACTACTATCCAAGGGTGTTGCGTGTGACTATTTAGAGAGCCTGCTTTCAATCGTAGGTCCTCAGAAGGCAGCCCTGCCCTATTCCCACGATATGATACACCTGCGCAAAGCCTCCATCCATTAACATAATCTTCTGAAGCATTCCGAATGGGCGGTACTCCACCCTTATTCGATAATGCACCGATTTCGACCACCTGCAGGTACACACAACGGATTTACATGCTTCAAAAATAGTCTGCACCGTCCAAATATGGGATCGGACATACCAAATGTGTTTTCTCTATCTCTCTCCCTCCTCTCTCTCTCTCTCTCTCTCTCTCTCTCTCTCTCTCTCTCTCCAATCACCCCCCCCCCTCCTATCCCCACAAATGTCACCCATTTACAACCAGCGGCAGCGGCAGCCCATATGGCCCAGATCGACCAGCAGCACCTCTTTTATGGGGCGCCCGATCACGCGCCGGTAGCGCCGGCTTTGTCACTCGTGCGCCGCCACTGCCACGCCACGCCGCTCGTGACGCGAGAGCGCCACGAAAGCCGCAGGCGCTCCGACTTCGGCCGGCTGGCCACTATTCGGTATGCGGCCCTGGGGCAGTTATCAGTAAGGAACTGGAACCCACGAGAGATGCAGTCGCCAACAAAATTGAACTTCGAAACGTTTAGTAAGAGTGAGGCTCGACCGGTCGAATGCATCAATCTGTTAAAATGTTCACTCCTGGTAAACGTACTTGAAAAGAATGTTCATGATTTTGTATCCAAGCCAAAGATAACACCCGAAACGGGCATTTTGATGCTTATATAATTCATCTCTTCACCATTGTCACGCAATGCGCAACTCCGCTCCTCTCAGAATTCAGAACTCGTTGAACGGCTGCCTCGTCACCGTCTGCGCTCGGAACTCACACCCCCCCCCCCCCGGGCTGTGGAGAGCCATCACTATGCACGTGACGCCACCGTTCGGTCTCCACACCTCGTGCTGTTCGCCCCGGGCCGCATATTTACGTCTGGACAACGAGTTGCGGGGAAAAGTGCCGATTGTGTTGCAGTTTTAGGAGCCGGTGATTAGGCTGGATTTTTGGGTTACTTTTTCGTTCCGATTCATGTATTTCATAGTGTTTGGCTTTTGAATATTTTAGTTCTTTCAGATAAATATTACTTGCCTTACAACTTTTGTAAAAACGTTTCATTTTTTTATAAGCCGACGTTCAGAGTCCTAAAAATACATCAGCACTACAATCAATGTAAACAAACAAATGGAGCACCACTTGGCTCTGTTCCAAGGCCATTTTTTAGTTTATCTGGTGGTTTTCTTGCTCTTGTACGTCGTTTTGTTGGATGTTTTGAATCCCTTAAGATTGACTTATATCATATTTAAGAAGCATGTTGACTGAAAACAATCTGAAGTATCCAGGAGGCTGACAGAGGTCCTGACTACTGAGCAATATCAATATCAAGTTGAACAAATTATGAAATTTTGGTTGATAAACGCAAGTTGATCGGGCTCATATATCAGCAAGAAAAAGTAAAATTAAAAGAGCTTAGGTATTGTCCAAAAACAAGCTATAATATTGCAGACCTTGGAGCAATACTGAAGAGCACGCTGAGCAGGATCGTGCCAGAAAATGTTGACTGATGAGCGCATATTGATGTATTGGTATGAATATTGAATGATAACTTACAACAGCAAGATAAATTAGTGCTAACTGTCAAGTTAAAATCTAGAATGAATGGACTTGGGCAGTTTTACTATGCTTAAATGCTATGCAGATTGTAATGTGCATCAGGTACTCAGTGTCTGGCAAATGAAACAGGCGATCATTCCATTGCTACTGGAGGAGAAAGCTTGGATCACTAAATCCACTTTATGTTGATTTTGATGTTAATCATCATAACTGTATTTCTTGAAAAAAGGATTGTAGTAAAATTGTCAATGTGACAATCCATGCAACAATGTGATCATATTATGTGTTCATAGTCATTCGTGATAGTCATTATTGGTCCAATATACAATGACAAAGCTCTCAGTCTCAGCGTTTCTTCCTGTGGATGGCCAGCAGTGACTCAAAGCTTAGAAGTATTAGTTTTCTTCACAGGGCTGGGATAAACAGTACTGAGGGTAATCTTCCACCAAGGAACTCCACTTTGACATGGTATGAGATGTAGGCACAAGTAGGTAGGTGCTCAGTTCCTACTTCCTATAGTCAGTAGTTGTGTATGTTTACCTAAGATCAGATTGTTAGTTTTTTAATTTGCCAAATGTCCATAAAAATGTGACCTGAGCAATGAGCATACCTGAACCTGACTAACCTGACAGCTGACCTAACCTCAATCATCACACATATTTGCAGCCTACCCAAGACCTGCATGGCAGTGGCACCCAGTTATAGGTAGGTACTCACCCTAACTCAATCGTACCTGCTAACCTCCAACTTGCCAAAAGTAAGCTCACATTGCCACGCTGTGTCCAGGGAAACAGTCAACTGAGGAACTGGCTCATTGGGTGGCTGGTGTGAGACTGTGCATTTAAAGTGTTTCTTCTCTGAAGCTGCTCTGCACTGCTGTATGTCATGTTAGATGCTCAGAAAATGTGGGAAATGATTACTAAGCTACTTTAGTGCTTTGTTAATGCTCGAGACATGAACAAGTACAGATCCTGCAGGGTACAGCTATGAGTTAGGTGCTAACTGCTAGGTGAGTATGTTATGTGAATGTGCTGTTCCCTGTTTGACCGTAAGTATGCAAACAAGCACAGGGTCACAGTTATATTCAATCTCCACATAAACATACAACAAAAACGGCCATATAGCCTTACTCCGAACACACCACAGATAACTTAAGCCTTTGAAGGCACAAAAATGTTTTGATTAACAGGACAGGTTTACAATATATCCTCTGTCCTTGGGGGATCTTGCTGCCAAGTTGAGGTATGATGACTGAACTTCAGGATTGATCAACCTTTTCTTAGCCACTGCTTAGGTATATACGAGAAAGACCAAATGCTTGTTTGGTTTGATTTACAGGACATGTATACAATATATCCTCTGTCCTTGGGGGATCTTGCTGCCAAGTTGAGGTACGATGACTGAACTTCAGGATTGATCAACCTTTTCTTTGCCACTGCTTATAAACGAGAAAGACCAAATGCTTGTTTGTAAACTGCGTTGAAAATTTAATGATCCACCTTCAATTCTGACATGAAGGCACAAATGAAATAGTTCCCTCTTCCTTTGGAATACACAAAGCAAAATATTTAATAAATTTTAGTGGATGGACAAGAGCAATTAGTATAGCTTAGTAGCTGGCACTGTTGATGAATTACACTGACGCTTATTCGCTTCATATTTTGTAACAAACGCGCTAAAACTGCAATATAACAGCACTATATGCTTCTTGACAAAATGCAATAGTATTAAAAATTTAGCCCTGATGGCATTCATTCTTGGTGGAAACGTAATTACAAAATATTTTGTAGTAACTATTAAATTCCGGCCGAAAACAGTGCACGATTTAAAAAAGAATCATTCCAATGGCGGTCCATTCTTGCGGTCCTGAAATCGCCACTATTTCCGGCCTCTCCAACGCAACTCGTTGTCCAGACGTAAATATGCCCCCGGGCCACGCTGTCCTCCCTCCAGGAGACGCCGTGTCTTAATTAGACCTGGCGACTGGCGGGCAGGATGGGAAGCTGGGGAGAATGGCGTGTCGAGGTAAGAATACACGTGGGTTGTGCTGCAGGGTATGAGCAGCGGAAGAAGAGGGGGGATGAGGGATGGATGAGGAGATAAGAGATAGATGAAGGTAGTGAGGGAAATGATAAGGGATAAAATAGACGATGAGGAGAGAGAAAGAAGGGAAAAGGAGAGGAGAAAATAAGGGATGCGGGAAGGCGGAAGAAAGATGAAAATGAGGGAAGGCGATAGTTGATGGGTAGGAGAGAGAGAGAGAGAGAGGGAGAGAGAGAAAAAAGAGAGAACGGGATGCTATTGTTCAGGCCCCTGCACAATGCACATGCCACGGTGGGCACTGGGCAGCCTATCAAATCGGTGTAATCATTCGTGTTTCCTCTTTGTGCATACCGTTGCTGACGGTAAACACTCTCATACGTCAGCTCACTCGGCTCATCACTTAAATACTATCCGTGCAATATAACAGGCTGTGCACAACTAGTCTTGAATACAATAGGAATGACGGGTAAATGTTAGTGTTTCATGGGCCTCAAGCAACGGAGTGTTTGGCGGCTGCCGCCAAAGACAGTGCAAACATTGCAACAATGAGCACTTAATTAGTTCGCCTATTCGCTGTTAAGGTCGTTACACATCTTAGTCCAAGGAAAGTTTCCTCTTTTAACTGTTATACCTTGAGGCTAAGACGAGCATCTTGATGCGATCGCAAAGCATACACCAATGTGCGATTGGACGCCACAAACCCATCACTACACCACCTTGAACAAAGTCACCACCAGCACCGTCACCACTGCCCTCCCCTCCCCTCCCCCCCTCCGCCGGTTCCTCCTCGGTGATTAGCACCTATCATTAATCACCGGTCCGGCCCGTGCAGCGGCGCTGCAACTGCGCGGCAACTTCAACTGCAACTTTGGACGATCGGCGCGGCTGCAGTGTGGGGCTGGAGGAGAGACGCAGTGGACGGTGGTGGCGACTGAAGTGGTAGACTGTGGTAGGGGTCTGAGTAGACTGCTAAGGTGGGACTAGGATTGTAGACAGGGTTGGGTGGGTGAACGGATGAGTGGACGAGGACCTGATGAGCTTAGTGGATTGGTGCTGACTGCTGACAAATTAGTTATGAACAGGAGCGGACGAGTGAGGACAGATCGGATGTGCAGACTATACAGAGAGTGGTCAGAGGTGGACTGGACCGTAGATCAAATGCGGACTGGTAAAGGTGGACAGATGTCGACTGGGAGCGAAGACATATTTGATGTGGTCTGGTGAAGGCAGACAAACTGAAAGATGGGAAAGGGACACACAAATGCATAGAAGAGGTGGATTGAATGGTAACGCTATAATGGCAGCAGTAATGTCGAACGTAGACTGTTAGAGGATCGTGGGTAACTGACCATCAGAGAACCGTGAGTAAAACTGCCAGCTAGCCACGAGTAGCTAAGCGACCGTCAGAACACCGTGGGTAAGATCTTCGAGGACCAGACAACTGACCGCTGACCGCCAGCTCAGCGCCATTTACGGGCCATTAGTGAGGCAGTGTAGCGAAGCGGCCCATCCGACCATGCAGGCAGGGTCAGACGAAGAGGGCCGCCCGGGCGTTCACTGGTTCTGTTCTGGTCCGCTGGACTGGTACAGAGTACTGGTTCTCCAGACGGAGCAGGAGGCACAGTGTACTGGTCGGCTCGATGGCTTTTCGTAATATGTAATGCACAGGTCACCTGTAGCCAAAGGCAGCTTTATCCATTTTTCAACAAATGAGATGAAATCTTCTCTTGCTTGTGAGGAATATTTTAAAATATCCGATGCCGAAACTAAGTGCTATGCACAAAACCGACCCTACAATACGCACTTCTGTGTATCATGATGTAAGTGAAAATGGTGTATGTTTCTTTTTGTTCAGGTCTTATGCCCTCTTGTGCCTTACGATAACCGTTAATTACGACGTTAAACCGAGCCGCTGTGGGTACAGCTGATGGCTGTCGTTGGTTTGTGGTGACAGTAAGACGCAGAACAAGGCTGTTTTTGCTTGCAACTGCCATCCCTAAGCACCCGAAATGCTGTAACCCGAAACTAATCCTCCAAGGTTTGTGTGCATTTGTTGAAATACAACCTTTCATAACTTATGACTCTCCTACAGCAAAAACGCAGCGAACAGAGGATCACATTTTCTCCTTGAAGGCGTCAGAGCTTAAACGTGTCTCCAAAAATGCGCATTAGCTTCCTGTCAGAAGAGTGTGGTGAAGCACCTTGTACCGCCAGTAAATCTTCTTTGGCCTTCGACTCCAGCTGAGACATGATGGTTGGTGTACACTGTACTGTACATACAGGTGTGCAGACTGGCCGCTGAGCCATGCTGAGATGATGGTCGATCGAATCTACTCCGGGTCATGACCCCGAGCACATGGCCGGAGCGTGGCGCAGTGGGCTCGGAAAGGCTCGGAACGGCTCGGAAAGGCATAGCAACGTGCACGAGCAAAAGGGGAGAATGTAGGTAGAATCGTCTGAAATGGCAGACTATGCTGCTGTGGAAGGTAAAAAGACCAGCAGAAACTTTGAGAATTTGACATTCAGAAATGAGCGTGAGCTAAAGTAAGTTCATGCGTATGCATTTGAATTTTGACGTGTGGCAAGAGCAGTTAATTAACGCGTATGCGACTATATGTGTGATTGTTAGCTCGTGCTGTAGAAACTTGTGAATCACACTCATAAAATAAAAACCCGATGTTTTACTAGAGTTAAGGGAATGTTTCACATACTTGGTCACGCAAGAAATATTACAATGCATTATCTGGCCGTGTCCGTACAAGTTTGGGCTGTGTTAGGCCGAATCGAACCAACGGACACACCCATTCGGTGTTCAACCGGTGTAGCTGTCATTGAAACACCATAATGCAATTAAGAGCGGGCCGTCTTGAGGCGAGAGACTTGTAATGAAATGTCTTGAGCATACCTTATTGCCAATTACCGGCTAAGATAGGCCAGAGAACAAAAATCATTTTTCAAAATACTTTGAAAAAGTATTACCTGCGACAGAGTGAAAGTGAAATATCCACTCCCATCACATCTCAGATTGTAAATCCTGGGTATAACGGCATTGAACGGTGTGTGAACCTTCACCACCTTCACCAAATTGACTGTGCCGAAACATCTTCGAAATGACTAACTGTTACTAAGCTTTCAACATCGAAATCAGATATAAACGCTGGTAAATTAAAAAAAAAAAAAACTCTGCTGAGCTGAATGAATTCCAGAACCAATATACCACCTTCCAAAAATATTTTCAGATAATCCGTTCCGTCCACTGACCTCCCACACCCTCCCACCCCAGCCCGTCCACACTGTCCACTGACCTTGCCGCGGCATCTCCACATAGTCCACCGCTCCTCCGGACGCCCAGCGGCAAAGTCCACAGCTGTGGTTCATGAGCTGCGGCGCAGATTCGGCCAGGAAGGAGGGCAGCGGCGGCGGTGGCAGCGTCAGAATCATATCCGGAGGTGGACCGAGCTCCTCCAGCAGCGCGCACTCGCCGCCGGGGCATGAGGTGTTCGTTGGTTCCGACCAGACGTACGGAGCGCCGCCGCCCGCCGGCACCGACACCTCGTAGAACGAGCTCATGACGTCACTGGAGTGGTCCGGTGACGTCACTAGAGTAGCTCGATAGACTCTGGGGACACAGAGAGAAGCAGTGTTAAACTGGTGATCACAGAGCGTTGTGTTATTCTTATGCTGTCACTGCCTGGCACGGATATGGTGGCATATTTATTTTAGGCAGTCGAATAGAAACCAAATAGGATGCTTACAAAATACCGCTGTGAAATATCTTATCATTAAATCAAATTATGTTTATTCATCGGAGATCAAGCATCCACGTAGCTGATCTATCAACATAAAGAGCGAAAATTAGTAACTCGATGCAGGATTTTGAAGTACTGCGTGGTGTGGGTAAAAGTGTAACTGGAATGGCGGACGAAATTGCTGGAAATTGCAGGAGCTCTCTGGGATAGTGCCCCAATTTAGCCCCATTTAAAACAATACCAACAAAATGGAGACGGATGTGAGCGAGCGTGAGTACCGTCTGTTCAATTATGAGCAAACAGCTCACCGAAAACAATGCTCCCAGTGTTATGGCACAAAGACGGAACGTGTAACCTGAGCTTCATCACAGTTACGTATGGTATAATTCAGCGACAAATTGTTCATAATATCTCGGTAATTACAAGTTACAAAACTGATTACTTAATAGCCGCCTGGCCAAAGAGCCTTCACATTGGCAAGGTTGCCTGCGCTGCGGTTTTGAACTGCCATGTGGGCAGGTGACCCAGGCGGGCCTACCCGGCCTCCACACCGACAGCGCCGGCGACAGATGCCGCCTTCTGCGCCCGACAGAACAATAGACTACAGATGACTGTTCGCACGATCAAACAGACCGGCCCGGCCCGGCCCGCTGTCCTAACGACCACTCCTTTGATGACCATTTCCTCTCGTACAGTCACTAACGCAGTTAGTCAGGGCGCCAGTTTTTGTTCGGATTCGGCGGTGCACCAATAAAGCCATGAATTCAGTTGGAGGTGGGTGGGAGCGGGGCGGCGTTTTATGATCTCGAGACAGCCTTTCCGTCCCCAGTCACAGGCGGTGGGAGCACCTGCTACCACCGTCTGTAGACAGTCCGGTTACCGAGTTTTGTCGGTCTCTTTGTTTCTTCCGTCACGGAACAGGTCAACAGTGGGGTGGTGGGTTTGTTTAGTTAACCGTTCAATCGACCAACTAGCCAAATAAACAGTCATTAGGCCCCCCGTTGCCCGCGCCACTATCACCAAGCGTTCGCCTCAGTTGGCTGTCAGCGGCCGAAACCACTCGCGTCGGCTCGTTTGTAGGGTAGGACGGCCCCTAAAAAACGCACCGACGGAGTGATAACGACGAGGTATATGGTCGGGATTAAGGATATGCAGGTTTGACGAATCTCGAAGTCGCATCTATTAAATAGGTGAGGGTGGGTGGGAAACTTCTCGCCCACTCTCTGCTCCACTCGCCGTCCGTCGCAGTCGACGACTGCCGTTCGCGCCTCTCGGCTCTCCTGCCAGCGGCGCGCCCGTTCCTACACTCCCCTTCGCACCACCCCTAGTCAGGGTCTGCCCCGCGTCTGTCGGCGGGGTGATTTATCTATCTCCGACCCCCGTCTCCCTTTGCTCCGGTCACGTTCAGTGGCGCCCGGGCAGGGTCCTAACCTTCCATAGCCGCGTCGCCGCTATGAGTTGATTAGGCCCCCCGTTGCCCGCGCCACTATCACCAAGCGTTCGCCTCAGTTGGCTGTCAGCGGCCGAAACCACTCGCGTCGGCTCGTTTGTAGGGTAGGACGGCCCCTAAAAAACGCCAAATACACCCAATGGAATGAAAAAGTCTTAGGCTAAGCGTCCGCTGCCCACACCTTTCTCGATCTCTGCTGAGCAGTTAATGGTTTGACCACGAATCCGGGCACATGCCGCATGCGGAAGGTTCCCAGTGTGTTCCGCTGGCGATGCCCGGTCTGTTATTGCGGCATGGCTCTTGGTGGTGAGTTTGGGTCGAACCAGTTAGTGTGAACCGGGGCGGCGAGGGACTCCCTCCACCCCAAGGTCGGCTCCCGTCCTGAGTCAGCTGTGACTGGACCCCATACTCCCCGCACAGTGACGCCAGTGACTCACTGTCGACCGGCGTGGGGGCGCCGCGACCCACTAATGGAACGTGACCGTGTTCGGGGTGTTCGTTAGTCGTCTGCCTCTCGTGGCCGCCGGGGGACCAGCGGGGGAGCCGGGTCGTGCGGCGTCGGCTGGTATCAGGTTGCGGCGGGCGGCCCGTCCCGCCGCTGTCGCCCGGTTTGAGGACCGTGGCGGCCCCACTGTGAGCCTCTGTGGCCCCGCGGACAGTACCGGCAGGCGGGCCCGCGGCTGCCCCGGCGTTGACTGTCTCATCAGCCGGTCCGGTGTCATGGCGGTGCCGGGGCTGTGACAGCGGCCGGCGGCCGGCTCTGGCTCCGCCGATGGCTGTCTTTTCTGACTGGCGGTCGGCGGGGTCGGCCTTGGGGGAGGGGGTGGGGGGGGGGGAGGGGCGACTGTGGTTCCCGGCGGCCCTGCCGTGTCGTTCGCTGATATTCCGGTGTGTGTGAAGCCATGCCTGGACACACTGCGGTGAGAGGGGGGGGTCCGATCCGATGGTTTTGTCCTCGTGTCGGTCTTGGACCCCCGTGTTCACGGCCTCGGGGTTGTGATGTTTAGCCCGGCACGCTTCCCGGCGCCTAAACCGACGTCATCGGTGCTGGCTAAAATGGAATGCCGCGAATCTGGGATCAGTGGCCTGGTTTCGTCTTTGATATCGTGCTGCAGATTATCTAGTCGTCTGCAGCGGTCCCGTAGACCTATGTTGCGCGCAACTTAGCCGCGGCGTCGGCGGCGGACCCGGTTTACGTGCTCATACGACCGCACATACATAAATGGGGTTTGTATGGCCATGTGGCCGTGAATGACTGGTAGAAAAGGTTGTGCATAGATTCCGGTGCTGTGATGGCACCGCACGCAAAGCACAGTGCCTCACGGAAAGTAGGAACGGTGCATTGTTAGGGTACTTTAAACGCACCTACCCCTACCTAAGAATCACGTGCTGTTCATGAGGCCTGTGAGCACGGGCGCCGATGACTTTTCTGCCGCTCCGTTCTGGCCTGCGGGATGACAACTTTGCATTGCCAGCGCATATGGGGACTCACATTTGGCAGCTGCTCGCACGGGTTACCGTGGGTGGGCAGGGTTCGCGAAAGTGTCGGCTGCCAGCTTGCCGCAGATTGCAGTGTCGCGACGCTTACTCGGAGTCTCGAGAGTGGGGAGCCGGCAGGCAGCGGCGTAGTCGGTGTAGTTGTGTCCGGGCATGATCTTGCATGCATTTTGTCTGTGCTTGCTCGATTCCTGCACTCAGAATACACTTTGAGAGCAGTTTGAATATAAAGACTCAATTGAGCGCTGAAAACCAGCCTCAAATGTGTCTGATTTTAAAACGGTTTCAGTAAGGCTTCCTAAGGGCTCATGTACCCGAATACTGGATTCAAGCGATACCGAAACTGGGGTTCGGACTGGAAACTGGTTTCATAGTAAGACTAATTTTTAAAAGCTTGACACCGAAAATAGGTACCGACTGAGCTCTGTTTCTGCGATCAATGGCGTTGCTCAGAAAATATTCTCAAAATGTGTGATCTGTTTTGAATCGGGGACATTAGCCCGAAACTGATCTCTGAGACCGAAAAAGGAGAAACTGTTTTCTCAGTGTGTGCGGATTGTTCGTTCGGTCTCGTCTGCCACCGTTGAGCCCAGTATTTCAGACATTGGACGAAAGAAGTTCATAGTCTGTCGATAGCTAGATGCCTGTCGAGTTGCAGAGCAGCCGATGCATGACGCAGACCGGGTGTGTATGTGTGTGTGTGGGGGGGGGGGGTGCGTGTGTGTGTGTGTGTGTGTGTGTGTGTGTGCGTATGTGTTAAGCGCAAAGTGGCCGAGGCGTCGGCAGCGGACCAGGTGTGTAGTGTAGACAGAGTGGCCGAGGCGTCGGCAGCGGACCAGGTGTGTAGTGTAGACAGAGTAGCCGAGGCGTCGGCAGCGGACCAGGTGTGTAGTGTAGACAGAGTGGTCGAGGCGTCGGCGCCGGACCGGATGTATGCGTATGCCGATTTGCAGAAATACGGAGGCGGCCACTTAGAAAATACTTTGAGACCTTTTCACAAAGAGACTCCTTGAGTGCTAAACCGAGCCTCCGAGGTGACTGGCTGAGATGTGTTTCTGCGGCAGCGTATGTCCATCAGGTTGCGTTCGGAAGCGCTTCTCGAAATGCGTGGTCTGTTTTGACAAGGGGCCTTATCCCATCTAACCAACCCCGCCACGTTGCCTCGTCAACAAGTGCTGCTTTATCTCGCTATTGAAGCGGCTCCCAGGCAGGTTCGTGTCAGGTTTCGTGGCAAGATGTTATATGCGATGACAATAGCGTGTCTGAACTACGCCTGCCAGACTCCGATCGAATCGCCGGCGTGACTAAATGGTCTGCGTTCCGTGTTGTACGGTACGGCGGTGAACACCTCCACGAGTGACCAGGTCGCCGGCGATCGACTCAGGCTCTGATGTCACTAAAATGCGCTTTAGTAAGCTAAGTGCCTACCGTGTTGCAGAGGGCCGAGGTGACGGCGGCGCACCTGGCGCCTGTAAGTTGCAGAGTAGCCGAGGCGTCGGCGGCAGGCCTGATGCGTGTGCATGGGTTGCAGATTAGCCGAGGCGCCGGTGGCGGACCCGATGTGTGCAGGGGTTACAGTGCAGCCCAGGCGTCGGCGGCGGGCCCGATGTATGTGCATGAGTTGCAGAGTAGCTGAGGCGTCGGCGGCGGTCCTGATGTAGGTACTTACGTGCAAGGGGTGTAGCGTAGCCGAGGCGTCAGTGGCGGACCTGATGCGTGTGCGTGAGTTGCAGAGTAGCCGAAGCGTCGGCGGCGGACCTGATGTATGTGCCGTTGCAGAGTAACCGAGGCGTCGGCGGCGGACCTGATGCATGTGTGTGAGTTGCAGAGTAGCCGAGGCGTCGGCGGCGGACCTCATGTACGTGCGAACATGGGTGGAGAATTGTTTTCAAAGTTGGTATGGCGCCAGTTGCTCGAAACAAT